TAACTATATATTTTACATAACATTAAACTGTACTTTCTTATATTACAGACGCTAAAATTTGCTAAATGTACGTCAAACTATCCAGCCCGGCCTCAACTCAGCTATGAAGAAAGACAACGCGTCCAAGTATGATTCCAATAACCCAATATGGTGGCTACCGAAAATGCGACGACAGTTTTTGAAGGATGAAATTTTGATCATCAGCTAATGAAAAACAACGCATCGCTGATTTTTTGATATGCTGTGTAAAAAAGCCTAAATTTTTAACATATAAAAACACATTGCGCCCTCTATCTACAAACTATGAAAATCATTTATTAAATGCAATCAATGTTTTTCAATACAAAATCCCATTTTAATAATATCATTATATTATATTAAGAATGTTTAATTACCTTTCATTTTATATTTTGGTCTTTGAAATGGGCCCAGCGGTTCAAAAGTTATAAATTTTTGAAAAAAAATATTTTGAAAAAAATAAAAAATAAACTATTTTTTCGACAACCCTAACATTGAAATGGCCACCCTTATGGCAAAATAAAGAAAATATTTTGCGATAAAGAACAAAACTACATTTTTTTTTACCAAATTCTGAGAACCACTTTGCAATGGAATGTCTCAACAATATTAAATTTAGGACAATAGTTTGTTTAATAATTTTATTAATTTAAACATTATGAGATCATGAAAAAGTTACTATATCTGACGGTACCGAAGAGTAAATCTTACTATACAATTGAAACTTAGTATTTGGGCAACTTCAATCCCCTCTTAAATCATTTTCAGTTGAATTTGTTTCGATCCTTAACAGTTTTGTATCATCAATAGTCCGTATACGCCTTTGTAAACAGCTAAGTAAACTTCAAAACACTTTTTCTCAAAAATCCCAAGATGAAATATTTTAAAACCATCACAAATTTGATTGTTGAAATCAATACTAACCTCCTGTGAAGAAAAAACTGAGGTACATGAAATTTGCAAAAAAAGTGCCTTCAGACATAGCGTGCGGTGCAGCTTCTTCCTTCTTTGATGGTTTCTGATGTGGGCTTTGCAGCTCGCTGCTTGCAGGCAGCCTTTCGTTATTACTGGAGAACAATTTTCAACGCCACACGCCGAAAGCACTCACAGCAAAAAAATAATTTTGATATCACATCAAAGTGGATGCACTACAATCATGTCGAAAATTTCATGTAATTTTTATGAACACATAAATAAACAAATGCAGTAAAAGCAGCGTAATGTCAGTTCATGCATTGTATTAATGATAATTTTGTCCTTTTTAGCAAGTAATATTACACCATATTTTCGACATGATTGTAGTGCATCCACTTTGACGTGATATCAAAATTATTTTTTTGCTGTGCTGCTGCTACTAATTTCGACGACCTAACACCACCACACAGTGGTGTGGTCGTTGGGAGCGTGTGGTTCTGAGTATGGCGATAAGTGTGCAAAATATTACGCAATTCCATCCTCCCTATTCGCACGCGCCCGAGGATCGGAGGCGAATGCCACTTCGACTTGTTTCGTCTACTTACTACTCTCTGACGACTGTGCTGCGGAAGCAGCATATGCATGTAGGTAATTGGTGGATTTGTTCGTTAATTCGACGCTTTTGGACAATGCTGGACATTTACCAGTTTTTCAATAGTTTCTTGTTAAAAATCAACGTTCGGAAGCATTGTTATCGATGTGTAGCCATATTTCTGATCGATTGGTGATAACATTACTGAAATTGGACCAGGGGCAGCTGAGTTATTAACGTTCAAAATCTTTCTTAATTTGTTACATGTTCCATTTTCGGTTTTCACAAAGTGTACCCCCATATAGAAATCAAAGACGTAGTCCTACGTCAAAAGTAATTTATGGTAGCCCCTAAAAAATCCTTTTTCAACACTAACTTGTACATGTATTAATTATTAGCTAGCTTATCTTGTTGAGTACACAAAATTCTGAATTTTAATTGTGATGTAAACATTCATTCACGTAGACTTGTATTTCATTTCACGCAACCGAGCAACTTGAAAACAATGTTGTTTACAAAGATGGGCTTTTGTATACAATATTTGCTACATTGCATGAAATGTGTCAGAACTTTACATGATATGTAATGTAAACGTATATGATATGTGACGCTCCATTTATGTGCATCATATTAAACAGAAATTTACCCTACTTTTTCGAACTGTGTAGATAACAATGCACAGTGGTCCCGAATGCAGATTTAGGTGGAATGATATGTTTTGAGCCTGAAATTGAAACTTTAGACTAAAAGTCTCTTCTAAAAAGTTGTTCCTTATAGTTATGCCCTCATTTTTATGACAATGAATTCTAGGGTGGTTAAGGTATACATTCTTCGACAAAGTTATAGCTGAGCTAATTTCAAGCAACTTTGTAGAAAACAACTTTTTTGTGTCTCTTAAATTGGCCGATTTAGAGCTATTTTCTTGAATTGAGTTAGGGTGGCTCTAAAAAAACAGTTGTATTGCTCTAGTTTTCTTATTTCGGATTTATCAGCAAAGGTGTCTTGAAACAACTTTTAGATCTTAAAAAGGCGCAAATTTTTGCCGCACGAAGCTTGTCAATATCTTTCGCCGATCAAGAGTTATTGACATTTTTATACTAAAAATATGCACTTTTCAAATGTTAATATCTCTGGTTGGGGCAAACAAAAAAAAAAGTTTTTCTACGGCATTTGAAAGGGAGTATGTTATTCTCAATAATATGAAAAAAATGGAGGTATGTTATTGTTTAAACTCGGATAAAATCAATTTAAATTTATTCATATTTTTTAATATATTCGGGTATATCTTTTTTATTAGAAGAGATACAGGCAACACATTTCAGTATAAAACATTCGTCTTAAAGAGTTTTAAAAGTCTCTACAAGATGACTTTCATGAGAAATTTAAAATAAAAAAGTTATTGGCAAAAGATGGATTTCATAGGACCACTTTAATGACAAATTTAAATAAAATGTGCTAGTACATTTGTTTCAATAGTTGGACATTAAGTGTCTTGGAAGAAGTTTTTGTTCTTTAAAATTCCTTTCTTTTGGTGTTTGCAAACGTCATGGTGGTCCTCAAATTAGGGAATTTTTAAAACTAACTTTTTTGTTTTACAAAATAAAAACATGTGTTGTTTGAAAAAGTTGTAGCTTAATTTATTGCGAGCAACTTTTGTGAAGATATTTTTTTTCTATCTCTTAACGTTCTCATTTTAGAGTAATTTTTCGGAGTTGACCTAGGGTGATCCTGGAAAAAGAAAAGTTTTTTAGCACTAACTTTTTTATTTGAAATTTTTCTCATGAAAGTCATCTTCTAGAGACTTTTAAAACTCTTTAAGACGAATGTTTTATAGCGAAATGTGTTGCCTGTATCTCTTCTAATAAAAAAGATTTACCTGAATATAATAAAAAATATGAATAAATTCAAATAGATTTTATACGAGTGTTAAAAATAACATACCTCCTATTTTATCATATTATTGAGAATAAAATACGCCCTTTCAAATGCAGTAAAACAACTTTTTTTTTGTTTGCCCCAACCAGAGATATTAACATATGAAAAGTGCATATTTAGTATAAAAACGTCAATAACTCTTGATCAGCGAAAGATATTGATAAGCTTTGTGCGGCAAAAATTTGCGCCTTCTTAAGATCTAAAAGTTATTTCAAGACACATTTGGTGAGAAATTCGAAATAAGAAAACTAGAGCAAAACAACTGTTTTTTTTAGAGCCACCCGAACTCAATTCAAGAAAATTGCTCTTAATCAGCCAATTTAAGAGATACAAAAAAGTTGTTTTCTACAAAGTTGCTTAAAATTAGCTCAGCTATAACTTTGTCGAAGAATGTATACCTTAATTTATTCAAACAAATAAGTTAGATTTTTGATTTTAATGATAATGGGAACCACCCTAGAATTCATTGTCATAAAAATGAGGGCATAACTATAAGGAACAACTTTGTACAAGAGACTTTTAGTCTAAAGTTTCAATTTCAGGCTCAAAACATAACATTCCTAAATCTGCATTCTGGACCACTGTGCAATGATATTCACTGAAAAACATGAAACTAATTTTTTTAAATGTTTTTTGAACAAAAACTGAGGCTTTTAGATGCATTTTCAAAATCATGATTCCATTTATCTACGATTAAAAAAAAACTTTGATGGTAATTTTTATTTAACTAATTTAATTCGGTTTTGAAAAGGTTGTAACAGCCAAAAAGACGTAACAGCCAAGAAGAGGGTAAGATTTTAATTGGATTTTTCCTATCTAAACTACCTGTGAACAAGACGGGGAATCACTTACTCTGTTCATTGCACAATGTCGTCATACTTCTACAGTTCCTTTGAAACGTTTAGCCATATTGCCAAGCTTCCACAACCAACACGTAACGTGCACACAGGCATTGGAAAGTGCATTTTTCCAACGTTTCCGCTATATGTTCTGCCCTGTCTGCGGCGTCCGGTACAAGTTTTTGACCTTCCTTAGTGTCCCAGTAATAATCACTCGTTTCTTCGTGGCAGCAATCTAGCCAAACAACATAATTGCAGAGCTTTTCCAAGCTACGGCGTGGTCATCCCAGAACCGCACGCGCATATAACTGAAAGCGGAACTGTGGGGCCACTGGAAACAACTGTTGCTACCGAACGGCACTGACACCGGTAGTGGACAAAACAAAGAAAACCCCCATTGCCGTCATCGTCGTCGTCGCCAGTGTCATTGAAGCGAGCGAAACAAAAGCGAGAGCTCTTTAACGGCTTGAAATCAATTTCTGCGGTTACACGGATGCTTTTCGTTTTTCTTCCATACTGTTACCCTGCCTTATGTCTCCGGAGCACAGGTTTTCCCATTTCGCTGCTGCCAGGGCTTTCTTCGTCTGTTCATGTGGAAAAATTACGATCCGATCTGATTCTTGAACCCGGGGCGCGTAATAACATTAATGCTCTATGTGTATAAATATTTCACTGCGGATCGCCAGCTGCATCAGTTGTGCCCAGACAATAAACGATTCCGGACCCGGGTTTCTGCAGATTTCTCTACCGAAGAGTCGCTTCCAATTAAGTGTTGAAGATGGAAAAGTCAAGTGCGCGGTCGTTGGTGCTGGTGCTATTGCTGGGATTGGCACTGGTTGAAACGAAGGACATGTTCAAAGACTGTGCTGGGATGGGAAACTCGGTGTCCTGCTACGGGGCAAAAATGGTGCGAAATGTGGTTAAGCAATTGGCGAGTGAAAAATCCTTGCAACTCGTACCGGGCGTGGAGATTGTAGAGGCTGTGACGCAACGAAATGAAGAGGAACGGGCATACAATGAGATTACAAGTGAGCCAGAAGATACCGGCCTGCTGGGACGGATTACACGATATTTGACCAGCCATGAACTGAAAATAAACCTCGGCGAGATGATCCGGAAAAGTGAACTGCAGCGCATGGTTCGGACGACGCTGACGACGGTGCACGAGGAGATTGCGGGAGACGTTGAAGGTAGTTTTCATTGTAAAACAAGTGCAGTAGCTATTGGGGGCATTCAAATTCCATCGCAAAATTACATAGTTTGTTAGGAATGAGTCAAATGAGTGATAAGAATCTAGTGAGGGCAAGTGTTAATTAATAGGTTGGGTTATTACCCAAGTAACCATCAAACCCGATGATTGCCTTTTCTGCAATAAAAAGTTCATAAGTCCTATATTAACCTTATATTGCAAAAAGGGCAGGCAAATGCGAGAAACTAGTGAGCTTGGTGGTTCCTTGGGTACCCAATTAATCTCTTACTTGGCGGATCCTTGTTGATTGTATCGTATTTCAAGCAAACCGGTGTGCTTTTAATAATGAATTTTAAGATTTGCATGACCCATGATCATTGAATCATAAGACACAATTCGGTTTGGCATTTACGGGTATATTGTCTAAAATCGGGTTTTTCGGTAATGAGAAATTTAATACCGTATAAAACGGTAATAAACAACATTTTTCATAAATAGGAAATGTTACTCATAATCAGAAAAAATGCTTTATTCTTAATAGTATATGCATTAGTTATGCAAGCATAATTATTGAGTCCTCATAACATATCCCATGGCATCAACAGGTTCGCTAATTGATTCTATGCCTAATAGTTATAAGGTCCCTAGCAGAGGGAAAGCTTGCAGCTAGATTATTCGAACTTCAATAAGATTTAAAGGGGTTCTTATTATTTACTATTATGCCTAACCTAAATTTCTCACTAATCTGAATTGCAACCTTGCACTGCACAGTGGAAATTAAGCAGAAAGGATGCATTTTGAGCCTGAATTTGAAAGTTGTTTCCTAGGGCCTAAAATTTTGGTATCAATGAATACTAAGGGTGCCTTTATTATCATTGAAATCAAAAATTTAACTTTTTTATTTGTAGAAATAAACGTATACATTGTTTGGCAAAGTTGTAGCTCAGCTAATTTCAAGCAACTTTGTTAACTATTTTTTTTGTATCTCATGAAAAGACTAAGGTTTTCTTAAAAAAAAAACAGTTAGTTGATCTATTTATTTTAGTATGAGGACGCACCTTTGCCGCGCAGAATTGGATGATATTATGCCCTTTTTAAATGGTAATATCTCTGATCGGAGCAAATAAAAAAAAGGAGATTTTTACCTAATGAATGTGGGCGTCCTTATGAAATACCTGTGTAATGAGAGAGAGAAGGATTAGTAATTTCCATTGAATTCCACTACCTTATTTGCTTATCCTTGACAGATACGCGTATTTCGTCTACAATGTGCAGACTTCTTCAGTATCTTGTACTAATACTCGACTATTAGTCAGTCGAGTATTAGCACAAGACACTGAAGAAGTCTGCAAATTGTAGATGAAATACGCGTATCTGTCAAGGATAAGCAAATAAGGTAGTGGAATTAAATGGAAATTACTAATCCTTCAGATTTTTACGGCAATAAAAGATTTGAATTTTTTTAGTTTCTTTCAAATTAAATAGAACTAGGTATAACTGCTTTATAAAATTAAATCTAAGCGTTGTATCAATAACAAAATATGCATCTCATAAAGCATGAACATGATTTACTGCCCATAGATGCAACTCCTTTATTGGCAGATCAGCTATAATCATACAGAGAACCAATAGATGTTGCTTGGGACTAGCATTCATCATCAATGTGTAAATACTGGTGATCTAAAATTTGGTAATACCAGCGCCAGCCACGTCCAAATGCTGGTCAAGAAAGAAATCGGTAGGAATATTTTAATGTAATACTCGCTTCAATGAAAGCCGAGAAAACCACTGCACTGCCACGAGAAACCATTGGGATGCTGGATAAAAGGGTTGGGATTGCAGCAGGATTCGTTGTTGTGAAAGATTTGCTGAATTGTTGTCCTAACGATCCCATAGCGCGAAGGAGCTACGGTGTTATGCTCAGTAAGCAAAATTGGTCTCCACTAGGACACTGAGCTCCTTATATCACAATACAATTTCGATCAAGTTTCCCTGCAATTTGTTCTAACTATTTTGCGATCCCAGCGACAACCTCACCGACGACGACAACAACTGCTTTTGAGAAGAATTTGATATGGATCTCCAATCAACACGTCTTTCCTAAAACTCAAATTTTACTTCTTTTACCTATCTGTTTTTTTAACCAAATTTCATTACGATCAGTAGTGTAAGGGCTGGGGGCAAGACAGCTTTTGATCATGATTAATATTTGAGTTAATTTTGAGCAACTCTGAGTTACTCGAGTTGCTCAACATGCGATGTACGGCAACACAGCAACCTTGTTGTGTTTATTCCCCAACTGTCGAAGAAAGACGTTCAACAGTGATACATATTTCTATATTTTGCAGCTTCCCATTGTCAAAAGGTGATTCCTGATGAATGTGAGCATCGTAGTGGAATAGCTGTATAAATAAAGAGAGAAAATGGTGGTCTACACTAGACACCAATAGACTGATGCAAAATTTGAAATTTTCGTTCCCCAGTGCTCAAACGGTTCCAAATTGGGCCCTGATTAGCCTCCCAAAATTTGAACTCATTTAGTGATATACTGACTTGGCACAAACCATTTGAATTTTATATGGGAATTACTATGAAGAAAACATAATTTCGGTTCATATCTATCTCAAAATTCACCAGTTCACTCTACTTTAAAAAATAATAGCTGAGCTTGTTGAAAAATTTTCTCAGCTTCTACTATGTTGAACCATTTTTCGATCAAATGTAAGGAACAAAAGTTATTAATGATTCAAGTCACTGATGTCTTATGATTATACTCAATCAACTGTTCAGCAGGCAACATTGGTGTTTATGGCGCGTAGAATAGAGGACAAAAATCATGGCTACTATGTCACACTGCAGAATACAGTGTTGCTCACAATACAGTTGCTTAATCTTGCCATAAGATTATCAATCTCTTAAACAATTAATAACTATTTAATTTGACGTTTGGCTGAAAAACGATTTTCTGCAAAGTTGTAGCTAATAAAAATTCCCATAAGAATAGCAATAGAATTTGTTAACAGTATAATATGTAAAAAGGCTAAAAGACAATGAACAAAAGGTTTTGTTTTCCCATAGTAATTTCCATATAAACTTTAAATGGTTTGTGCCAAGTTAGATTCCTATCAAATGAGTTTAAACTTTCGGAGGCTAATTAGGACCCAATTTGAAACCGTTTGAACACCGTGGAGCGAAAATTTCAAATTTTGCATCAGTCTAATAACCATCCATAGATAGATCCCATGACCTTCCTACTGCTTCGTGCCAATCGTTTGTTAGCCGTTTTCATCCAAATCTAGTGCAGGCTGTTATCGGTCGACGTTGACCATAGCATAGCAAATATGATAAGCTTGTCGAAGTACATTTGGTTAAATTAACCACATTTTGAATCTTCGAAAGGCATCAAAGTTACGACTACTTCTTTGTAATAGTATTCAAGGTTGCAAAGACTCATTTCAGCTAAAACAATGTTTTTCTAAATTATGAAATAATTAGATGCCATGATCAAATTTTGAATTGCTAGGACACAAGAAGAGGTTGCAAAGAATGTGTTTGACATATTAAACCTGTTTATTTCACTTCATGAGAGTCACAATCAGCGATTTTTCACAAACTCACTCACTCACTCACTCACTCACTCACTCAGCGATCAGCAAATCGCTGATTGTGACTCATAGAAAGCAAAATTTACAGGTTTTTTGTTTCCAACGCATACTATGTAACCTCTTCTTGTAAGTTACAAGTAAAACTTGCCATCATACCATCTTTTGGTTTTATTATTCCGAAAAACATTATTTTAGCTGAAATGAGTCTTTGCAACCTTGATAGTATTCTCTGACTTTTGTCTGAATGCCCAATAATTAATGCAGAACTTTGAGGCAGTAACCTCATAGTTCTGCAATAAAACTTGGGCATTCAGAGAAGTCTAGAAAAAATAATGCTGGTTGTCATGATTTTCAGAAAAAAATAACTAAAGGCATTTCTATTTGCCACTAAGTTTGACCCGAGATTAATAGAAAAGCAATACATTGTCATCGTATAGCCATATTTAAAATTTTATGATTCCATAAAACCAAATCAAGCTCTCATCTATCTTGAATTCTCAACCTATTCATTCTTATTTGAAATGATGCAATTTGCAATTGTAGACATGCTGAACCTCTGATTGGCCAAGCACATGAAGGCCTCATAAAGCACGTCTTGCCGGGTGATACGGATACATTTTTCATGCTAGACCATCTTCGGATATGGCATTTTTACCTTATTTCAGTTCAAAGCAAAGTTCTTAGATTTTGGCTTAGATATCATGCTGTGAATGAATTCAATTGATTAAATAACGATTTATATCAAGAAATTAATAAAATAAGTCAGATTCTCCTTCTCCTCTGACACATAATGTTTATTCACACTGTGGTTTGTATTTGATGATGTTTATAAGACCAGACTACTTTTATCATTGTTGAGTAATTATGAGTTACTCAAATTTACTCGGAGCAAAAATATTAACTTTGAGTACAGCTGGCTTGCCCCTGGTGTAAGTGGCTTGGGTTCTAACCCATGATCTTTTATTCAGTAAGCAAAAACGGTCACTCTAAGGCCACCGTGCCCCTTACATCACAACAAGCCACGACTGACGATCGTTCATTATCGGTTACAAGAAGCTATTATAATTAACGATGTCTTCCTAATCGGATCAGGCTCACGTCACATTTGTCTAAATATACGTATTACTTTTCTGAATCTTTCCACCGCTTTCTGTTATTAACGATTTTCTACAATAAAGGCCTGGATAGCTATACTCAATAATGTAACGAGGCTTGGGTTTTAACCTATAATCTTCTACTCAATAAGCAAAAATGATTGCTCTATAGCCACTGTGCCCCTTACATTACCACCATCCACGACCGACTTAACAAAAAGCTTTTCAAATGAAGCTACGTCCCCGAAAGCAGCCAACAATGTCTTCCAAACTGGATCAAGCAATTCAACTTTTGGTTATTA